ATTTAATATTTACTGTACCAAGTCACTAACGTCTACTTTAAATGCTTGGTACTACTCCTTGATTATATAAAAGAGTGGATTGGGAGCATTCAACTTTTACAACCAACCATTAAACTGAAATGCTTTTGATTTAATATTTTCACGCTAATTATTGTTTGTCAAATAGATCTACTGTTGATAATTAAGGTACAAATAGTTGAAATCTCGTGAACACAGTGGATTTCCGAGGAATTTCAGAGATGCATTGCTGGTGAAAGACACCAGGCAGTAAACGAAACTTTATTTGCTATCAAATATTCAGTAACGCAATATATATATATATATATATATATATATATATATATATATATATATATATTCAATCAACTGTTAAACTTGTTTAAAACTTACGAAATAAAGCACTTCTTTATGGTGTAATGTACTTTACAAAATATCGTATTCGAAATTTTTGTTTTCTAAAAACACGCAATATAATGGTAATATGATGATACAAAATTAGTAAAAATGAAACCATGAAATATTGTAGTAGATTGTTACGTCACACTTATTTAAATATAAAAACTGCGAATAAATACTAGAATAATTAAGGGCGCACGCACATTTTCATATTAAGTCGACTAATTTTAGCTGTCACGTAACTAATCAACTTCAATGATGACCAGTAGTGAAATAAAAAAATTTAAAAAAAAAACGGAACTGTTTATGATTCCTAGAGTAAGTTGTACTGCAGGCATGATTCCTCTGAGGGTTGTGAATAATACTACATTATTAAGGAATAACAATTAGAGCTCATCAATTTTTCCATATAAATATAATCGTTGATCTATAGATTCCTGATGAAATACTCTGTCAATATATATGTTAGCAGACAAGGAAACACAACTTCTCTTCTGTTTACTGAAGAAATTACGACAAAAACAGTCAACCCTGATTTATTTTGTTATGTGGTCTTCCCTTACCGAATTGTTATTTTAAATATATTAAAACCATTTCTTCATTAATATATTTCCATTCACTTGGTTCTCTTAATTTATGTAAGCTCTTTAAATCTTGTTCAATTATTATGTAACCTATCTTATCAGCTTTTTAATTTCAATAATCTCGTGTAAACCCATTAGTACCTCTAAAATTATCACATGATATATCATATATGTCTATGAACCTCACTCAATTATTACATCACCCACCTCTTATGTTTTGGGACTCTACCATCAAACAACCTCCGACCTTTTTTGCATATATATATATATATATATATATATATATATATATATTATATATATATATATATATATATATATATATATATATATTATTGATAATTTTTGTCATTGCAATGCTTTTCACTCATCTATGTTAATTGTTTCCCTCTCCATCATACCTCAATGTAAACTTTTAATATATATTTGGTTGAGGGCAATTGATTAGAAATGACAAAATATAATGAATTCATATTATTATCATTCAAATTCATAAAAAGAACTAATGTTATAAAAAAAATATACTCACTTATATTTCTATGACATACAATTTGTACATTGATTAACACATGCAATTATTAATGCTACAATTCATTATTTTTGTTCTGTTCAAACTGCAGAATGTAAATAGACATTACAGTGAATGTATCATTTCTTTGTTTCAGTAACTGATCCATTTAGATTGGAAAGAAAAAAGGACAAAATATACAATGACAGGAATAATTTCTTTTTTTATGTATTTGTTACTATAATAATAATAAGCTTTTTTTTGAAAGAAATATTTATCATTGCTCTTTAATACTCATGCAAGTAGATTCCAATTAAAATTTCATATAAATTTTATGATATTTTACTTAAAGGAAAGTTTTCAAGTGTTTAATTATCAATGGATATCAATGAATATAAACTCTATTAAATAGAAGATCATTTTATTTAAATACTAAGAACAGAGAAACCTAATCGACTTGTATGTGAAGAAAAAGAAAACAATTAAAAAATAAGTAGCTTATAGTTTTGAAATGAGATTGGCAAAAAATGTTTTTTTGTGGAGATTGTAGTAATTTCAATGGTTAAAATCATGAGTCCGTTGAAGCTAGACCACCATGGAAAACCTGGAAGCACTGGACGGCCGTTTTGTCCTATTGTGGGACTCCTCAGAAGTGCGCATCCACGATCCCGCACCTCGCGGGATCCGAACCCAGGACCTCCTGGTTTCGCACGCGAGCACTCAACCATTGGACATCTGAGCCGGCATCCAATGGTGTTATTGTCTAACTTCAACCAATCCACTAAGTCGCGCCACCGTACACCACTGTCTTCAGTGAGCTGATATCTCACAACAGACCTGGTTGAACTCCACTGGTCACTACTTCTCACTAGAACTCCAGGATATACCTCATGAAGCCAGTCACTAGACAATGGTGAATGTGTCGCTCAATTTCGTGGATTAGTTGAAGTTATACATTAACACCGTGGGATGCCGGCTCAGTGGTCTAGTGGTTAAGTGCTCACGCGCGAAGCCAGGAGGTCCTGGGTTCGAATCCCACAGGGAGCGAGTTCGTGGATGCGCATTGCTGAGGAGTCCAGCAATTGGACGAAACGTCCGTCCAGTGCTTCCAGGTTTTCCATGGTGGTCTAGCTTCAACTGACTCACGATCTTAACCATTGAAATGTTTTTTTGTTGTTGTCTCTATTGTTGTTGTCGTCGTGGTAAAAATGATGATATTTATACACGATTAGTTATAAATATATTGTTTATTTCGTAAAAGAAAGTCAGATTAATCCAGATTCGGACGATATAGTTAATAATGAAGGTAATAAACAACTTAGAAACAAAATAAATTTGTTATGAATTAAATTATTTGGTAAAATGAAATGTTACATTAAATATTTAATCAGTTTTGTAGTTATTGTGAAATATAACATGGTTATTAACTTATCAACAATAATATAATACATTGAGCTTAATTCTAATATCTTTGTTATTACTTTGTTACTATGCTTAAAATGAGTACTTATTATTTTATTATTTTAACACGTAGATATTGATACACAGAGGCACCAAATAGATATGCGCCACGCAAATCTCATTCGATATGTGTGAGGGCTGTGATACTGCCCAGATGCCCAAACCAAAGCTGATGGTTTTCTTTCAGAGCCACTCCCCGAGCCTTTGACCTTAAAGTCTGATCCACAAGGCAGTGGAGTATCGTAAGGAGATGCAGTCCCATGGTAGCCGGTGACCGAAAATTGGTTCATACGCCATTTGTTCCCGCAGGATACTGGGGCCCATGTGCACCATTGGTTTGGAATCTGGTTAAAGCGCCGGAAATTCGCTTTTCGTCCTCTAATTTTTGTAAACAACATCCCCACGACGAGAAGACAGTGAGTAGGACTTCCCTGGCAGAGGCTATATACGCATGGCCATGTGAGAGTATTTCGAGAGGGAGATCGGACTCCACCCACTCTCGGCCGTATCAGGGCATTTGGGGTATTAGATATTTTTCTTTTAAATAGAAACTAACCATTAATAAAATGTTTGTTGTTTAAGTGATTAACACTAAGGTTAAGTTATAATGGAATGATTAACACTTGGATACATTTACATTTATTACATGAAATGTATATGTTTCATACTACTGATTGTCACTATCCAAAATGTAACATGTTAGTGTTTGTAATGCTAAATGTTTCAAAATCCATGTTGATAATCATTCCATTATTTTTTTTATAGAGATAATATATTTATCAAAGCATCTTGGCTCAATTAAAAAGAATTTAGTTATTAATTATCTTAAAACTAAAATATCGGGATTTTATTATCTATCACTTACATGAAATACTCTTTTAATAAGTTTAAATATCCATACTTTTTAATGGTCAATAATAAAACACGTTAAGTAATATGTTGACAATAATATCTATTCCGTATATATATATATAGATATGAAACAAAACTGTGAAACTTAATCTTTATTAGACATTTTCATCAACTTATGAATGAATATATCAATATATGATTAACAACAACTTTGTTGATTTGACTAAAAAGGTATAAACATTTTAGATGATGGAAAAGATTTATAGATCACGTGAATGATTATGGTAGAGTTTGATTATTTGAATTGAATGGTCTGGTTGCGGACAAGCTGTGGTTCATATGTGGTGAAAGCTGAATATTCCACGTCTATCTGAAGCTTATGCTTATGATGTTGTTTAGAAGAATAATGAAAGCTCCACGACAAAATAAAACATCCTGCTCAGGGAATGAAACCTTACCAAGAACAGTTCAGAACTGCGAAAATTGTGTACAAGATATCCATCTATTTTGTGTTTTAATTTTAGTCAGCATATGATAGAGTTAAGACATTTGTGAGTTCTTCGTTTGACAACCAGTCTGGTTACATTTTTTGGGTATTCGATTGATAATGTGGAAATTGTGTAATGGAAAACATCTGAGGAACCATCAAACTCTAGGCGAACTGTTTAATCTAGATAAGATTAGAAAAAAGTTGAAATTTATCAAAATGAAAGATGCATCAGTATGAAAAGGAATTAGAGATCAATTTTCGTAACTATGTAGAACAATGTTTAAAAAGCTAAACCTGTGAATTATAAACACGGCATTATAGTACACTGATTCAAGTTGATTCACTTAAATAATTCAGAATTAGAAAGGACTATAATATAGAACATGACACATTCAGGAATTTCAGCCTTGAAAACTAAGTAAATATAGAATAAACCTATGGAGCTCCTGTCGAGTATGGCTTTTTTATCAGCAACCTACGACTGAATGTATTTCGTGAACACATAGTCATCATTTATATGTTATTATGCGTAAACAAATACAAGTTAAAATAAAAATAACCGTCGACTAGTTGGCTTTATCATGTGAACAATTAGAAATGTGTTTTTTTAACATACTCGATACTTTGTAACCTATCAATTTGTTTATAAATCATTAATAATAACTTCTTTTTATGATGAGTCACTTGTTTATTGTATTCCCTTATATAGGCTGGATGGAATGAAACAGATTTCTGTATTCATAAACGCAATCGTTTAGCAAGTTTAATAAGACGACGATCAAAAAAAGCAGAACTACCACGTAAACGAGTGAATTCCGATTTCAGACAGTATACAAATGGTAGCGTTAGTGATTCTGAAGAATGTAAACGTCAAACATTTGCTTATTCAAATAGAACTAAAAATAATGAATTTATTTTTGATGATATTAAAAATAATTGTGAAGATTTGAGTGAATCAGTATATAGTTTACATGGTGGTCAACCATCATCATCATCTTATTATATTCCAGCTCAAACAATTGTTCATGAATCATGTAATCCAGATGAATTAAATTCTTATCGTCAAGATAGAACACATGCAGTTTATATTACAGAAGGAGATATAAATGCCACATCCAAAGATAATCACAATAATGTTTTTGAAATGATTAATTTGTAAAAATGTTTTTTTTGTGTAAATTCTATATCTTTCATAATCGTAATGTGAATAACTAATTAGAGTTTACGGCAGTTTCTTTTTGTTGTTGACGAAAAAATCTTTTTTTGTTTTTGTTTTTACAGTCATAACTAATCTAATCAATATTTCTGTACCATTTCGTTACATAAGAATATATATATTTGTAAAATAAAAGTTTAAATGAATAAGTTGGTGTAAAATGTTCAAGGAACCTAGAGTTGTCTAATTATTTACTTCCTTACGCCTATTACTCCTTGTGAAGGAGCATAGGCCACTGACCAGCATTCTCTATCCAGCCCTGTCCTGGGCAAAAAGTTGTCTAATAATATGTCATTATTGAAAATTATACCAATTTGAGTGTTGACTTATAATGTAGTCCAAGAATTATCGTTCAAGTGTACTTTTTTTTATCAGTTAGTGTTGATCATTCTATTAAGTTTTTATAACACTATTTAATGAGAACTGGTTAATGTATAAGTGCACTTATCTGGTTACTTTGTATTATTTGAAGAAACGTGGACACTAAACTTCAATGTTTTTTTTATATTACCTATCAATTATTCATATTGATTAATCAATTTTATTTAATTTTCTACAATTTACACATATTTATTTACAAAGATCTCAAATTTTGTTACGATGTGATGTAATTTCTGCTAAATTTCTTTGGAAAAAACAATCAGAATTAAATACGATTTGTTATGTATAAATTAATGTCGTTTTGAACCCTTTCAAGAATTTCAAATGTTATTACTTCACTTATGGTTTATCGTATAAAAAGTATATGTAAGTACGTTTATAATCCAACAAATTTATCTTTTTTTTTTCCCCAATAATTAAAAAAAAATATATTGAATTTTATTAAAAAAAGTTTGTATTTAATCCATATAAATGGTCAACAAAACGTTTGTTCAATTTAAAGGAGAAAACGTTTATTGCTAGTTAAAATCGATTAGAGAACTTTTAAAATCCAAGAAAAATTGTAGGTTGGAACAAACAGACCATTAAATTTTACACTCATTGGTCTTAGAGATTAGTGCTTGAACTATGTGACATAAAAGGCTTTGACTCAATTTCTTAGCGGCTTTTATTGTAAACTAAGATGAAACAGTTTTTCTCGGAAGAGCAACGGTTGAATATGATTCTTCTGACTACCTATCTTCAGCTTACCGATTATAGTTGCTATTACATCTATCGTTTGAAGCATCGAGTCTGGCATCTGCTGTAAGATTTCTATTAACACCGTGCGCTAATGTAAATGAATGATTTATGCTCGACGTGTGTACTGTTTAATTTAAATAGGCCAAGACTAAACACATGCTTAATCACGTTGGTATACGTTGATGAGCAGCAATATGTAAATTTCTTCGACATGATTTTGAAAGACGAAAACTTGTTGATTTCGAAATCGGATAAAGTTTCAGGAGTGATCCTTTTCTATAAAGTAATTAGACTGACAAAATTCATATCGTCTTCAATGATCAGTGAAAAATTCCGAAATTAAATGACCTGAAAGAATCCAGTATTATGATAGACGGTGATCATATTTGACATATAAAGAGATTAAGAAATCAGCTGATTTCCCCAGACTCAAATATAACAATAAAAACGATATCTTTTTCCAAAATGTACATAAATCAAGTATTCCATTATAAAATGCTTGTCATTCAAAATTCCGTCACATTGTACATTAATGAAGAGGTTAATTATCGCTTTGAGACTCATTTAAAAATTGATTTTAGAAGGAGAGTATTAAAGATAAATGCGAATTTGTCGAAAATCATAAATGATTTAAGCACAAGCGAATTGTAATATCTTTAGATGCAACATTATTGTTCATAAACATTCTCTTCACCAAGAAAATTGATTATATATTTGAGCTATTTACTGAAAAGGAAATTAAATGAAAGGCAGAATATCATGTTTCTAATGTTTTACCGAAAAGAAATACAAATTGACTAATAAAGAACCTGTGCCGGAAGAACAGAATACATACATACTTAGTTTTATACGTCTGAACTAAATGTATATAATGGTGCCCGTTTGTTTGTTGATTGACTCTCTACACGGATGAAAATATTATTCAGTTATTAAAATAAGTGTGGGATGAGCTTATAAAATTGGCAAAGTATGTCACTGTAACAGGAAAAATTCATTGCCCAATAAAATGTTCAATATCCGTTTATAAGTTTACTTTTGATTAAGTTTGCTGAAGGTAAGTACTATAAATCAGTTTTTTTAATGCATATCCTTCACTTAACCTTGATGTTTGTCGTTCTATATACATATTGCGTTTCGATTAATTATGAAACACACGTTGTGGATAGGAAACATATTGAGGAAATCACTCAACTGCGTCATAAGGCAAGCCATCACAAGGAACCTTCAAGAGCAACGGAGAAGAGGAAGACCAAACATTACATTGCGTCGAGGAATGGAGACACACATGAGAAGAATGAACAACAAATAGACAGAACTAGAAAGGAAAGCCCAGAACAGAGTGGGTTGAAGAATGCTGGATGGCGGCTTATGCTCTATTGGGAGTGACAGGCGTAAGTAAGCATGTAAGTAACTCATTGTTTTCCACTCTTTTTCAAATCATATCAGATACTTCTAATCTAATAGTTAGAAAATAGACCCAAAATGAGATCAAACCTCGAACGTTCAAGTATTACAGTGATCCCGGTACTTTTGAACCATTCAGTGGATAACATGTCGTCAACATGCACAATCTTAATCTAGTTATATATCTGGCGCACGGTCAGTTGTTTGATTTTAATTCTTCAAATACGTTTGGTCTATCAAATTTATATGCATCAAAGTTTATATACATATGTATAATGTTCTATCATTTCTATTAAACTCATCAATGAACAGTTTCCAACCGGACACTTTATCGTGTAACTTATTACTTTAAAGTTTATAACCATATATGAAACCTTCTTGCTAACATTTTCATAATCAAAAAGTTGACAGATATTAATGAAAGTGAATCTTTTTTTTCTTCACCCAAATGTCAGTTGATTGTTACAAATAGTTACATGAATGAAGAATTTTCTTTAGTAAACTTGTTAATATTGCAAAACTTCATAGGTGCAAGAAAAATAAGTAAACCCGAGATCTTATTTATGGACGAACCAATTGGCTATATAGGATAATGAGCCTTGGATTTTAGCGCGAAATTCATTCATACATTTGGTTAAATAAAGTTTTGGCATTATAGCTGATGTCAATTCTTAATGAAAACCTTAAATCTAATTCTTAACCTTAACCACCAACTGTAAATCATAATTGTAATTACTCATACTGTTTTATAACCCTTTATATAGTCCAAGTTAGTAGGTAGACATTCTCAATGTCACTTTAGTGTCTCTTAAAGGTTGTCCATAAATGATACTCTCACCCTAAAACTCTATCGGATCACTTTATTTTTTAAATAATTATAATTTTTTAATTTCTGAATAAATAAAAAATTGAATTTCTAATGTTTCGTGACTTTGTGTAAGCATCTTCTTTAACGAATAAATCATCTGATTAAACAAACATGAATTTAAATAGTATAGAAGAACAAATCATAATGTTCAGTACAATAGGAACTTTATATCGTTCACATTAAAAATGGTTCTGTATGGATCATGTGGTTATGTATTTGTGTATATCTGAATAAATATGGATAATATAACAATTTTTTATGACAGAATAGAGAAAATGTTTCTTGTTCATAAGTTGGAATTGGAACAGGATAAGTGTGTTTGTTTATTAAAAAAAAATATGAGAATTGAAATAGATAGTTTGACTATTCTTTCTGTTGAATATATAGTATGATACAAGCTGGAAACATTTTCACTTTTTCAGGCAGTTGTTTCAGTAATGGTCGTATAGACGGTAAAAATAAAGGAAAAGAAATCCTTTACTGTTACACAGATTTAAATTCATGCATTAGGATGTTTAATATAATTAATCTCTCTAATAAATTTCGATAATGCCATGATGTGTCCCTGAGCAATACATTCTCAATCATATATGGTTACACGCATATATGTCAAAGTATTTACAAGTACAAAGTAATAAGATTCAGTTAAATAAACACATCTAATAAGTGTAAAATGATGATTAGAAATAAAGAATAGAAAAATAATAGAAGTTGTAGAGTGAAACAATTTCTTATTCATTTCAGATTATGTAATCTACTTCACTGTTGTCATCTATTAGTAAATTACCTAAATAATTTTAATATATTTCGTATGTGTTTATAAACAACACTACATATTAAGGTCCATTTTAAATCTAATTGCATTGAAATGCCAAGACAGAATTATATTCAGTTATATTTTATTAAAAGAAGAGGAAGTGTTAGATAAAACCATCTAAGAAAAGATGAAGTATCAGCATAAGGTTATGGAGATTGTTGAATTTTTATTGAGATCATGAACTCATTTAATTTGAACCACCATTGACAACCTGGAAGTACTTAATGACCGTTTCGTCCTAGTACGGGACTCACTAGCATTGCGAATTAACGACTTCAGGACCTTCAGTCACACATATGAACGTTTAGCATCTAAACAGCTGACTCGGAATCCAACGGTATAAACGTCTAACTTCAACCAACCCCACAATATTGTGCGACTATCTTAAATTGTCTTCGGTGGGTAACTCCTTCATACTCAGCACGGTTGAACACCATTGATCAAGGCTTCTCACTAGAAATCCGAATATCCCCTCTTGAAGCTAGTCACTATTGAGCACATGATTGAAAACACTGACAACATTACACCTTGATCGATAGAATTCGATCAGCAATGGAGTTTTTGAGAAATCTGACATTGGAGTTTAATCAGGTCTGTTGTGAGATCGGAACTCACTGAACACAATGGTGGATGTATCGAATAATTTCATGTATTAGTTGAAGTTAGACATTAACACTTTTGTATACCGGCTCAGTGATTTAATAGTCAAGCGTTTGCTCGCGAGACCGTTCCGTCTTGGAGTGAATCTCGCGAGGTAGGATCGTGGATGCATACTGTTGAGGAATTATACAATATTCGTTTGTATATTACTTTCAATGAATAAATTCATGCATTAGACATTATTGATATACAAATAATTAATATTATCAGTTAATGTCAAATAAGCAAATATATATAAATTCGATTTATATATCAATCTATTTGTGATCATATTAAAATGATGAATCTATTAAAGGTTAATGAATAAGTAAATAATAAGATAAACAGATAATTGAATTTGTTACGGAACAATAAAGAACAATAAGTTAGTTTTAAAAAAAATAAATTTCCATATAAGCAAATAGGGATATTTAATGAATATTATGGTTGGTAACGTAATCGATCATGTATGACCATCTAATTATTGTTAGATATGTAGATCATTGGATAAATAACAAATTAAGTGATATGATGAGTATTTATGGATAAAACAATGAGAATATAAGACATAAGTAAAGGGAGATGCAGTAATAATAATAATAATTATTAACGCCAAGCTAGCGATAACGATAAGACTTACTTCTTCGTATTCAACTCTTAAAAAATAGCCGATACTCTGACTATCCATGAGCTCAAACCAGAAGTATGAGTACAAAATAACAAATTGTTTATATGAAAATAAAAAGGAGAAGAAGAATAATGTAATATCCTAGAATCTGAGAATTATTTGATTAAAATATGTATGATTAATATTATATCAAATGAACATTAAAAAAAGCTGAATTAATACTAATATAAAGTAGAAATTAAATGATCGTGTTTCCATCCAAGATAATATTGATTTTTATGGTTTATATCGTTGATCATTGAAAATTACGATGCATTGGATAGTTGTTTTATTCCTTCAAGGGACTCCTAATCAATACATATACATGAATCATTTAGGATGAAACTTAATATCTTCTAAACTTTTAATGAGGGTTTCAATCTTGAACAAGTGATTTGGCATTGAATTACAACATCATCTTTTATTGCCTGATGCAGATGACTGTCACATAGTCAAAAAAGCTAAGCTCTAATAGTCAAGTATTTTTGTTAGAACTCTTGGAGTTCTACGTAGAAGTTAGTCACAAGTGATCATTGTTAGTAGAAAAAGTTTTTTTTTTTCGAATGTAAAAAATTGTATGTTTGTTATTCTCATATGCATATTTACTAAAAGTTTAATCCCAACTATTAACAATGAGTTAATTCGAATCCTTTATAATAACAATGATTAGTAAGTAGACTATTTATGTTTCATATAAAGAGATTCATACAATGTTAGTAAACCATAAAAAATTTTGTGGTTACATTTATCATGATGCCAAGAGAAATTAGGTTTACATAGTAAATTAAAAAAACAATGATTAGGAAATTGATAAATCTTGTTACACGGACAGACGGTTGACGAGCCACAGCATAATTATTATTATTAGTTTTATTAGTATTAGTATTAGTAGTATTAGTATTAGTAGTAGTAGTAGTAGTAGTAGTAGTAGTATTAGTATTAGTATTAGTATTAGTAGTAGTATTAGTAGTAGTATTAGTAGTAGTATTAGTAGTAGTATTAGTAGTAGTATTAGTAGTAGTATTAGTAGTAGTATTAGTAGTAGTATTAGTAGTAGTATTAGTAGTAGTATTAGTAGTAGTAGTAGTAGTAGTAGTAGTAGTAGTAGTAGTAGTAGTAGTAGTAGTAGTAGTAGTAGTAGTAGTAGTAGTAGTAGTAATAGTAGTATCATTATCATTATTTTTATCATAGATCTGGACATGTTTTGTTTATGGATGTAAATTTTCTTTTGAATATACTACAAGTCATCTATACAGATTCAATTTTCTCTCAAGAACAAAGTGAAATTAGATAACGATATACAATAGGAAAACTTTTTTCTTTGGATTCCCGGTTGTTGTTGTTTTTATATTGACAGAAACACATTTCACCTAAGTAGAAATAGAGATATTGAAATAGACTCTGTTTAGAAATATTTATGGGTATATGAGCTATAAGAAACATTTTACAAATCCATGAATTGTAAGACAAGATTTCAAAAATTTCCAATTTCCATTTCGATTACGAAGAATAAAAGGCTAGATGATTAATATTGATCAATAATGCTCACAATAGTGTGATTATTCGATCTCACTTTAATCGGTGTTGATACTAATTACTGTGACAGAGAATTCCAGTAATCCATAACAAATTGCAAGAAACATAACTTTATACATAAACGATTGAATCTAGGTTTCGTAACTCATCGGAAATAGGCTATCAAAAGATCTATCTAAGCTAGAAATAAATAAGTTAGTTATATTACTATCAAGTCCCCTTAATGTTGGGTAACATTTTAAACTATGTTAAGATAAAGGGAGTGAATTAAAATATTGTAATGAGCATTCATAAGGCAGATCAGAAAGATATAACAATATTGTAGTCCACATACATTTAATTCATTTTAATATATCAAATTCATAATTCGAACAAAGGATCGCCGTTACTTCAAATGAGGTTTCATATATGTTGGGTATAATATTATGAGCTTATCTTCGTTCAATTTCTGAAATCCTTGATAAATTGTCCACGAGATCCGTAGTAATTCTAAAAAAGCCCTTTCAATATACGCATGATTCATAGTTGTAAGTTACTATGACTCCAATCAACTTTATTATCTTAAAATTCGTAAGAATTAGGATTGATGCAGAACAATATAAATTCATTTTAATTCGTCAGGTTCTCATCAATTCTTTACAACTTATGTAATACTTAAAAAATCGAAAATAAGAGATGAATATGTATATCGAAATTGATAAAGTTATTAAAGCGACTGAAATCCGTTGATGAAAATGATAATATCAGATGGGTTAATCAGCATATGCTCACTAGTGACTGGCTTCACAAGGTATATCCTGGAGTTCTAATGAGAAGTATTAACCAGTGGAGTTCAACCGGGTCTGTTTTAAGATAGAAACTCACTGAAGACAATGGTGTACGGTGGTGCAACTTCGTGGATTGGTTGAAGTTAGATATTAACACCGTTGGATGCCGGCTCAGTGGTCTAGTGGTTAAGTGCTCGCGTGCGAAACGAGTAGGTCCTGGGTTCGAATCTCGCGGAGGGCGAGGTCGTGGATGCGCACTTCTGAGGAGTCCCACAATAGGACGAAACGGCCGTCCAGTGCTTCCAGGTTTTCCATGGTGGTCTAGCTTCAACTGACTAATGATTGTAACCATTGAATATGAAAATGTTGAATCCCGGAATAATGAAAATAATGTAATCAAACACATGAAGAAGATATGAAATAAGGAAGGATGTTATAAAATGTGTCTAAATTTATCAGGATAAAGAGAGATTGATTACTATTTCATTTGATTATAATCAGTTGTTAAGTATCAATGGAATTAAAATGAACCTTTAGGTAAAAGATTAAATCCTATACTTCAATCATCTTTCTATCAATTTGACAGCAATACGAACAAATCGAATCGGTTGATAATTATTCAACAAATGACAATTCGACTAATTATGATATTCTGTCGATCTTTTGCAGGTTTTGATTATTTCAGTGATATTTTCAACAACAGTTCCTGTACTTTGGAAATTTTATCATTCAAGGTTCCTGTAGGTCGATGGGACAACTAGATTAATATGGATTGAGTTGTTGAATATGTTGTTGTACATTTCCCACTTCAATAAATACAGGATCTGTTACTAATGTCTGTATTTTCACTACAACAGTGAAAATCAGTTCACGAATATGCTTTAATAGGGACTCAGCATTTTTAACATCTTCACTCTACAGTTATTATATATTCGGTTAAGGAAAATTGGAGGGAACAGCTGAATGCATCATATACGCCGCTCTTCCCCTAATGTGCCATAACATTCTGGGAATCGTCCAACACTTCAATTGCATAACATGATCTTTGAAAAAATAAAATAAGTTAACTTACAGAAACCTATCTTAGATTCGTTTACATAGTCCCTTACTTCCATAGAATATATATCAAGCACCACAGATGGTGTTGGTGTTTAGTTGTATAATCGATCATCTGAAACTGTAATACTAACACATTGAAGTACACAATTTATAACATGAAAACAACTATGATTCTGGATCATTTAATACATAAGTGAATAAAAACAAACACGGATTTCATTGGTTATTGAACAATCATTGTAAATATAACATAATTATTCAAACTATTCGCCTGATACTCAACACCATTGTCACACTTCATTGAAAGTGAACATCTTTGACTAACATGTCACTACATTCAAACTACGTTAATTGAAGTTTAAAATGATGAATATTTGTAATCTCATATTCTTAAAACATTTAACTGATTCAGTGAGTATGAGTGAATTATAAATAAAACATTGTCATGTATATTCAACAGAAATCATTGGTCGCTAAGAGCATTCAATATTGAAATGAACTATAAGTGAAATATTTCACACAGAGGAAAACTTCAATTATAGTTTACTTACAAAATATGAAATCACACTCATATCTGTAACTAACCATACTGACATCTCATGTCATTGAAAAGTGGAGATTTTATTTTCCTGAAATTTTATTACTACAGTATTCTTTCACCTTAGGGAATAAAAATTTTCACTCAATTTCCAAGATTTAGTCGCCACATATTACTAGTACAACCATAACACACATTCATACATCGTCTCCATTGTCTCAAATCCCATATAACACATTACAACATATTTTATTGTTTTATACAATTACACATATGTCTACCAAGTGAAGCATATGGTTATGTTGTAGAATAGAATTGAAATGATTCCATTAATTATAAATTTTTGTCTTTTACAATGAATAAAAGATGACATAGTGATAAGAAAAAAAGGAAAGTACATAGGAAACATGGAACAATAATGACAATAATTATGATTATCTAATTCATGGATTCGTTTTCATAAATTATTCAATATATAAATAAATGAGCTGAAGAAAACTAGATTACAGCAATGATAATTATCATTATTATCAATAGTTGATAATGAATAAATTAATTCACTTGAATATAAACTATCGTATTTGAGAGATAAAACGAAAAAAAAACATAAATAAAATGTCGTGGAATACGAAGATTCCATGAAGGTGAGAATGGACATGTTTATTGATTAAGATCTCGTTGAAATAAACTAACTGAATAGGTTGTGAATAATTCTGATTAAATTGATGGTTTATTTATGTAGTTTTGCAGAAACAAACAAAAGACTACTGTTTATCTAATTATATGTTTAATTCATATATTCAGATTATTCTTGTAAATTTGTCATTCGGAGGATTGTTAGAATCGGATGCACATTTGTAAAACGATCAAAGATAATTGGTTCATACATCAACAGAACACTTTCTGAAGCTTCACTTAATGTTAAGTAGTAGGTGTCTGTAGAACTGAAGAGAAATGATTTGATGAATAAACGATTTATTTCACAATGTGCAACATTATGGATATTTATTGTTTCAGGTGGCAATATTTCCCATTAATCCAGGTGTAATATGTCCAAAACAATTGATTGACCATCGGTAATTTTGGTCCTTGGTGGTCTAGCTTCAATAGACTCATCATCTGAACTATTAAAATTACTATGATATACACAATACCCCTTCTGACAAAATAAACGTTAAAGTCAATAAGAAATATTCTGTGTTGAAATGCTATGCGTGTAAATAAATAAAAATGATTGTTTTCGAGTAAAAACTGAAAGACTGTCAATTATATTTGTGTTTACAAGTTGGATTTCGTTGTGGAATTATTTTCGTTAAAACATGATTGAAGAAAACTATCTCATATATTAGTCATTTCGATCTTCTGTGAAACTGTTTAGTAGTGTAAACCTATAACACCATCTGTGATTCTATGCCCACCATGGCTTGAAATATTTCCTTTCATCATATCTATCCGTAATGGTCAATATCTTCACATTAAAACTGTATTAAAAAAATCACCACATTGTAACTTTTCTCAAATTAGTCGTGATGCACATTTATTGTTATATCATGCAATAGTTCAGTAATAATTATAAATGCACATTCAGGTGTAAAGAATGAATACTAAGGCTGCATTACTTACAATAGTTTATATCAGATGAATAAATCAAGCAACAAGCTGGATGAATTTGTTTCATCATCGTGAAATTGGCAAGAATCCTGAGATGAAAATTATTTATTTCGTGATAATTTACCACACACACAAAATATATAACAAACAGGAAATGAGTTTAATTATTAATGATAATAAGTTTCGACTTTTCACAATTCAATTGTATGTAGCTGTCATAACTGGAAGAAATTATTCCAAATGTCATAAATCTAACATTGAGTTCTTGATCATATCCACAAACCTATATTCAGCAATGCTAATATGATACCTATTAAAGATAGTGAATAAAGGAAAAAAGGTTATAATATAAACATGAATGTGCATGACCATCATGTATTTTGTATTCCGGTACAGAAATCATTTCAGTAAATCGATATATGTTTGTGAGTATTTATTTCAACCTGTTCAGGGATAAGACGATTATCCATTAAAGGAATAGAATATACGGACACTTTTCTATTTTTGTATATATATGATTAAAATATAATTTGCTTATATTATGAAAGTATATTTGAATGTGACCAACTTGGTCTCGTGTGCTGTTACGGGTATGAGGGACGATGTCACTTCCCGGCTGCCCACACCGTGGAAGGGTATTTCTTGAGGAACCTGAAAAGGAAATTGCATTAGTGTTGGTCTTGACGACCTGGGAGCGTGACCGCAGAGCCCAAGGGACAACTGCTTGAGGCCGGTCGCGCACGGCCTTTTTGTGGAAGGATTTTGACGTGTTAGCTCCGTTCTTCAAAGGGCCTTACCGCCGGAGACGGAAATCCGTGAGGTAAGGTGAGGTGTGACATTTTTAGGGTCGACCTTTTCTAACCCCACCCCTCCTTGTGGGAAGGCAGCATCGCTGTCATGCTGGTTGTCTGAGGGAAACACCTTACTGCTGTCACACCTCTCTACGGTCAGCAGTACGACTTCGCCCTCAGACCTTGAGTTGCTGCTTTTAGTCTTACCGTTCACCAATCGACCTGCCTGGCATGGTAGAACCTACAGGAACATATGTTCCAGCCAATATAGCTCGGTTGGGTCATCACGATAGGCAAGCCCGACCACCGCGTCAAGGTAGCAGCTTCGGTCGGGTTCTACGTTGTTATTGACTGACTGACTGATGAAAGTATATTGTTTATTCTCAATTAAATATGTCAGTATGTAACTATTTCAGCTCATTGGGACGAATAATGAAAGTATATTTATATATATACTTTTTTGTGAACTTATTTCATTGTACTCAATTATCAAATAATCATTGAATATTACCAATGAAGTTATCTATCGATCATTCATATAGAAAAAGAATATTCAAACGGGAACAGTCATATTACTGAACAAACACTATCTCAGATGATAATAATAATAATAAAGTACGTTGAATGAATAGAAACTAATTTTACATGACAAATAAAAAGCTTAACTGAAAAAGAAAAAAATAAAGTGGTTGTTATTATTAAGACCAAAATATTATGTAACATTGTAATTCGATTACACGTTAGTTTCTTTTCAGTTTTTGTTAAGTATATTTATGTTCTGTTTCAAACATTCTATGTAAACTATTTATTTAAATGTTATACAAAGTAATTTATTATTATCATCCTATTTAGTGTTTGATCAGAAATATGGATGCTAACTGAATGATCTGTTTTTCTAATGTACGTATATATATATATATATGTCCATGATCCGTCACAAGGTAAAAACATGTATACCAACTTTAGTTGCTAAGACGATTGTGAAATATGCATAATAGGCCATTCACCATTTATTGATGTCAACCAAAATACTATAGGTTAGTTACTTTACTTTGAATTTGAACTCCTCTCAACTACACATGAAATCGAATACGACACACTAAGGTTTCAAGAAAAGCACAGTACCATTGAAGTACTATTGAAGTATTTTAGTATATGTTTACTATCTTTAAGAAAATCATAGATAGATAACATGTTAGATGTTAACAAACAAACACAATTTCATAAAATATAAGTCAAATAGTTTGGCGATTTAATTTACTCATAGCTGCAGAAAGACATGGATTCAAATGAAAAGACTTGTGAGCTAATCAAAATGTTGGACGATCAAATAATAATGTTAAACATTCTCTTGTGCGATCGAAAGTTCCATGTTCAAGTTCAAGTTCCGTGCTCGAGATCGTAGATTCTCACTGCTAGGGAGTCTCATACATAGACGAAATGGTCATCTAGTGCTCTCAAGTTTTCACTAGTGGTCTAACATAGGTTAGTTCATGATTTCAATGATGACTAACTATTTGGAAAATTGATAATAATCTTTGAAAATGATCTATATGATAAAGCATATAAATCTTTATTATTATCATAAAACACTTTATACCCATTGTTTTATCAGTTCACTGCGAAGTGATCGGAATTATAGTACATATCTATATTCGATGTTTATGATGATACTTTCCTATAATCTTAATGACATAAATTATTAAATAATGTTCCAGTGTATTGGATAATGTAAATTATTCAACAATTTGAGGCCTATATTGTTCTGAAACAAACATTAAAACAATAGTTTAAAGTAGTTCTTGGATTTTACCAAATTTATTGATTTATTTTTCGTAAATAGCTTCAAAGTATGTCCTTGATGTAGTTTTGTTCTTTGAGCTGAATGGTTTGGTCGTGAAGCTTTCAGTATATTCTCTATTAGCGGATTAAACTTTGTAAGATTAAACATACAAAATGAATACTGAAATATAATATGATGAATATATTTATTATTAAATTAGAATTATAGTATTGTTACATTTTATTTTTCACTTCACATTCTACCAATGTCGACTGTTAATAACATAACTCACTGATAAATGATAGATCACTATTGAATATTGAATAAACGATAAATGAGCTCTTGAATAAATAAATACCACAAATCAAAAGGATATACATAAGTCATGAAGAACACATTATTATCATTAATTTAAATGATACTGTAGTGAATGAGAACATACAAGTGAGGACAATCAAATTTAAATTCTCGGAGTTCTGGTGAGAAACCATGACTAGTGGAGCTAATCCGTGTCGGGTAGAAACAACTGTCTACTTCAGTACAGTGGAAGATGGTCGCACAATCTCGTGGATTGGTTGGGGTTAGACAATAACACCATCGGATGCCGGCCGGCTCAGTAGTCTAGTTCGCTAAGCGCCCGGCGCGAAACTGATAGGTCCTGGGGTGCGCGATGCTGAAGAGTGCCGTACTGGGACGAAACGGCCGTCCGGTGCTTCCAGAGTTTCCATAGTGATCTAGCTTCAATTGACTCGTGATTTCAATCAAAAATACAATCAAATGTATTTGAACACAAGATTACAGAATATCTTAATAAAATCTGAGAACTATACTGTAAATACTTTATTTAACAAAATATCAATCAATCCTCTCAGA